AGGTAGTATAATTTTTATTATTGCAACACAATAACTGATCAATAAATAAACTTCAGTAAATATTTAGTATTAAAAACTTTGATATCCTCGGAGAAATGAAGCCTTAAAATTTATACTGCAATTTCGCAAAATTGAAAATATGTCAAAAACGGTAAGGTTTAAGTGTAAAAAACCTTAATCAAATTTACCTTTATTTTAATCGTAGAAACTAAAAATGCAATAATATACAGGGTGTTCCATTTAAAAAAATACAACTTTGATATTTTTTATTTATTTGGGACACTCTGTATCTTGTAAAAATATTTTTAAATTGTAGCTCTAATAATCCTTCAACGAACCCAAAACTTACAATTTGTAAAAATCTAATCGTTTAGCTACAATACTCCGTGTCCTATGTGGTGAACAACCCTGTATAATATGATCTAGGAGAGTAACAAACATTTTAGATAGTGTTGGAAGAATCAAACATTTTGAATTAATTTCTGTTTAAGATGATTTTATATAAATCTTTAAGTCAAAAATTAAAAACAATACTAATTAACTTACTTCTAAGCATACAGTAAATTATTTGAGCGTAACTTAACTTAGATACTAAATATAGAATAAAAAAGTACGTAAGTAAAAAATGGCATAACCTGAGATTAAAATAGATCTTTACATACAGCATTTGTATTATTTGATTAAGCTCGAAATACTGACATCCATCCTGATGCATAACTATTCTCTTAACGAATGTGTGAAACTAGGCCTTTTCAGTCTTTCTAGCGTTGACATTTTTCCATTATTAACAACTATATCGTTTCTGAATTGACAGATTGATTTTATTCCCTTTGTATATTGAAGATATTCATTATTTTTAAAGCCTGTCCAGCGAGTAAAGAATGACAGAAAAGACATTAAGTTGTGAATTATAATGTCAAATGATAACTGTCACTGTCATTTATCCTCTCGATGGATAGACTTCATAGATAAAGGAAATAAATTTAGATTGTAACGCCCGTCAAAATATATAACCCTTTTAGGTATGTACGCGATCTGGCGCTGCTATAGCGGTTGCTAAAAACAACCTCAAACAAGAATTTTCTCGTGTCAAAGTCAGAATCTTCAAAAATTATAAAATCTTTCAAAATTAAAACCACTCTCGTTGAAAAAATACCGAAGAGTGTTTAAAGCGTCCATTTTCAAAGTAATTATTGCTATTCTGTGAGTTTAATTTAAATTTTATTTACTCAAACCCGTAATACATAATTGTGAAAAAGTGTCATTAAAAAGTTAGCTGTGCTGTAAACTGTGAACTGCAAAAACTATCGTGGATCGTGGCATAACGTCGCTTTTCAATGTTTCATAGGTATTTCATACATATCCTTATGTAAAATAAAGTTTTTTGTACACAACACGCAATGTATTTCTTGCATACAAGAATATTTGGCGACATAATTCCGGAAAAAGCCGAACCGCTCCGAAATTATCAAAAGCTTTGGGTCGCGACCGTTGCAAGAATAGCGCCAAATAGTATTTGTATTGTCCTTACGGGCACTTTCCAATCTAAACTTGTTTCATTTATCTATGATAGACTTATACCTTTGTAGACCCCAAGTAATGTTCAAATATATTAGGTGATTTTTCCTATTATTATATGCATTACATGATCTTGTCTAAAAATATTTAATTAATTTAATATATTAAATTTAAAGAAGAATTATTTATATTATACCTTATTGAAGTAAACAATTATTTCGTTGATAATAAAAGGATGATTTTTTAACAAAAACTATATACCAAATAAAAATAAATAGTAACAGTACTAGTAAAATAATTATTTCTATTAGTGATGGGCAAAACTGTTATTTTTAGATAACAGTTGAAACTGTTATAGTTATTTATAAAAAACAGCTTAAAACAACAGCTTAAAAATAACAGGTTTCTTTATTTTACTGCTAAATATCTGAAAGAGTATGAGACGGTCATCGCCAGGCGTATTAACGCAGTTGCAAGTTGCAACAATGACGTGCTCGGTGGTAGTATTTCCAGGGTGTCAAAACATTTCTAAATATCGATTGTTATCTAAAATACCTCTCTAAAAACGGTGGTTATTTACAAATAAGCTGCTTTTATAAATTGCGATATAAAAAAAGCCAAAATTCCGCCACTCGTCTAGACCTATACATTCCGATCTACCTACGCCCTGCCCCTCGATCCGCGTAGATCTTGAATTGCGTAGCAGTGTACAGGGTGCATCTCACTCGACGGGCGAGAAGCTCTTAGTTATGATTTTACCATTTGCGGTCAAAAAATAGCCATATAAGAAAATGTGTAGTATATTCTTCATAAGTAAACCATCTAGACACTAGAGTTCGAATTAATTTTACACTTAAACTAACGTGTACCCGCGACTTCGTCCGCGTCGAATTAATCATTTCTAATGGTGATGATAAAGCAAAACAAGAATTTCCATTAACATACAAACTGGATAAACTTTTCTCACATTTGCCAAAAATAAGCTTTCTAACGTCGAGCAGTTTAAGCAGAATCGTGGTTAATCAATTACTCAACTTTTTGGAACACCCTGTATGATTTTTTTAAAAATTTCAGAATATGTAAAAAAACAAAATAAATTATGCGTGTCCAGGCGTTTTCCCGAAAGACTAACCATTTTTTAAATAACAAATATTGTAATATTTGAGAGGCGTTTTCACCCTGTTGGAATTTGAGATTTGAGAAACCCCTCCTTATCGAACCTCAACCCCACAGTCAATCCGTTTACCAAAAATCAGCTTTAAACGTCAAGCAGTTTAAGCAGAATAGTGATTACTCAATGGTCATATTTTATGAAACACCCTGTATATATTTTTAAAAAATCTTAAAATATGTAAAACAACATAATAAAATATACGTGTTTTTTTGTTAGTTTTTCCGAAAAACTCACCGGTTTTTAAATAAAAAATATTCTAATATTTGAGAGTAGTTTCACCCCCTTAGAATTCGAGTTTCGAAAAATCCCTTCTTAGCGAACCTCTACACACTAAAGTCAATCCGTTTTCCAAAAATCAGCTTTTTACGTCAAGGGCTTTAAGCAGGATCGTGATTAATCAATGACCAGATTTTTCAAAAACACCCTGTATACAGCTTTTAAAAATCTTAAAAATATTATTCTGAAAATTTTTTCTCAAAATAAATATATACCTAAATATTGAAACTTAATAAGTAAGTACTGAAACATACAGCGCCATAATATCTCGACCTCCGTCCGTTATGCTCGTAACAGGTTGAAACAGAATGTATCTAAAACAACTGATGCGTTATTCCCCAACCTGTTTCGAACCTCCATCGACAATCGACCGATGCAGCAGCGTTCCTTTCCCACACCTATTATCTCGTCCGCCGCCCTGTTATACTTGTAACAGGTTGAAAAACAACATATCTAAAATGACTGCTTCTCCAACCCGTTGCGAGCCTCCATCGACAATCGACCGATGCAGCAGCGTTCCTTTCCCACTCCTGTTATCTCCACCGCCAGGCGTTATGCCCTCAACTGTTTCAAAAAACCTGCTTCTTTTATATCCTATTATTTTTAAGCTGTTGTAAATACGACCATTGACGGTATCGACCGAAGCAGCTACGTTCGCCGTAGCGCTTTCCCCACTCCGTTGTCCGTTGTCTCGCCGCCTGTATCGATGGTTGACGAAATAAAATGTTTTCCATCCATACTAGTTGTTTTTTGGAATTGCTTCGAGCAGCATAGTATTTCGTGGTGATGCAGAGCGCCGACTTCGTTTTTCCTTTCACGAGCGGCCGATCTCTACGTGTCGTTATTTTATATCTGTTATTTTTTAAAAGTAGTAACGGTTGCGTTATGTTATTTATAAATAATTGTTATAAAATAACAGATAGTTAAATAACAACCCATCACTAATTTCTATTAAGGTTTTGATTTAATACTAAGAACTTCAAATTAAAAATAAATGTTGTTTTTCATAATGAGTGAATTTATGAGACGCATTTCCTAATTTTAGAATTTACACTACATATATCACATTCATTTTTTCTGATTTTATTTAATAAGCATTTATTATGCCTGTGTTTATTATATAGTAGGTACAATATATTAGAATATTACCACAATATTTTTATATCTTTACCAATTATGGAGATTTTGGATAAAGCTAATTTTACATATAATTCTGTTCATTACTAAATAAAATTTTAACTGGTACTTATTTATTTACTATTTTAAAAGGTTTAAAAAGTATTAAACCATTAAACAATTTACATTATCTAATATTTTTAAATCTATTATGCACTGACAACTAAATTATCTCAATATATTTTACTTGAATTACTGCTTCACGTCGAACTATAGATTCTGTTATCTGAAATCATTATAGAAGAATAAATGCGGTCTAGGGTCCATATACAGTGATGTACAGGTCCATATTCAGAAATTTAAATATATATGTATATGAATTCATAAAAACTAATTATTACAGAAGTGTAAGAATTTCTTTTTTTACAAATTTCGATTCGATATAATAGATGCCTGAAAACAAAGAAGAGTTTTTTTACATATGAAGCCTTTGAACAAAAAGATTAAGGAACAACCCATTTTTGACAGTTTCGTTTGACGTTTAAATTGTAAATATCTAAATTCTATTATTATGATTTATAACAATTATTTTCCTTAACCATACCCCATTTAACAGAATTATCACTTTTTGTGCCGTTATTTTCTAATTTTGAAATGGAAGTTCAAGAAATGTCGTTGGTTAAATTTAGGCTAGTTTTACTAATCCCGCGTAAAATATTTTATGCAAACCAAACTAGTCTTCATTAGGCATTTTGAAAAGCGACTGAAAACAGATAGGCCCTTTGCAAAATATCCTTCTATTGTTAAAAATCCGGCGTTTTATAATATGCCTAGTCTTTTTGCAAAATGCCGAGTTATTCGTTACGCTTGCGGCATATATATTTTTCTTGAACTTATGCTTTTATTTTCCATTTGTCAAAAATAATTAGGATACGTCAAATTGACTTAGGTGTTACAGTAGCGTATTTGGTATTTTTCTTACTATCTATATTTAATAAAATTAGAACGGCCTTGAAAAACCGGAATTTAAATTAGCCATAATCAGTCATAAGATTTTTAGTCATATGCTCCTTCCTTAATCTCTATATTCAAAGTGTGAAGCTAAAGCTGTATTCATTTTAAAGCCTGGGTTCACACGTTCGCGGTGAGCGATCGTCAATCGGGCACGTTTATGGTGGATTGGCCCGTGAACGGCGAGATTTCTTTGGAGTTCCTCGAAGCGGGATAGTAGACGCAGGGACCTGAAACAATAACAAACGTCGAAAGTTATTATTGAGGAAATGGCGTCGCAAGTAGTCGCGCAGTTTGCTACAACTACACAAATTAAGGAAGTGTTTGACGACTGGCATGTAAATAATGAGAGTTAAAGTGAATGTGTTGGTATTTCTGTTTATGTGTTGTAAATTACCCTAAGCATAGAGTTAATATATCGATGTGTATGAAATTAATTATATTTATGAAAATGTCAGTCAAGGAACTAAATTTTCAATTTCAACAAATGCTGATTGAAGTTGTTCTTTATATTATATTTATTTAATTTAAACTTTTAACTAGTTCAAACACAGCTAATTCGATGGACACCCCGTACAAGTTTTCGGACTTCTGGGGTCTTTCAATTTATTTCTTGAGTGGAAATTAGATTATTTTGTATTGATTTTAAATATAAATATTCTTTATGATGAATATATTTATTATTTTTTAAATGACGTAAATTAAACAAAAAACTTTAACAACAAATGAAAATATACACCGTTGCTTTTTTATTATTAATTAACTTTTATTTATGCTGTCCTAGAATTGAAAAAATGCAGTCACTGCAGAACTGAAACGGTGTATATTTATTAAACAAATTATGTCTGGCAGTTTGTAAATATGTATTTGTATTAATTAGGTTACTACTATATTAGTTAATATAAGGAATGTAAAATTTTTGTATGACTTGAGAAATAAAGATTATTATAAAAATTATTATATATTGTACTAGCGTGTACCAGCGACTTCGCGTAGAATTAATCATTAATTTGTAATGGCGATGATAAAGCAAAGCAAGAATTTCCATTAACATGCAAACTGGATAAAATTTTCTCACATTTATGTCAGCATGACAAAAAATAATATGGCGATATTATTATAACGATTATAACTTGCTAATATTTGAGGGGTAGTTTCATCTCGTTGGAATTTGACTTTCGGAAAATCCGTTTGCCAAAAATAAGCTTTTTACGTCATGCAGTTTAACCAGAATCGTGGTTAAGAAATTACCCAACTTTTTGGAACACCCTGTATGATTTTTTAAAAAATTTCAAAATATGTAAAAAACCAAATAAATTATGCTTGTCCAAGCGTTTTTCCGAAAGACTAACCGTTTTTTAAATAACAAATATTGTAATATTTGAGGGGCGTTTTCACCCTCTTGGAATTTGAGATTCGAGAAACCCCTCCTTATCGAACCACTACACCCCACAGTCAATCCGTTTGCCAAAAATCAGCTTTAAACGTCAAGCAGTTTAAGCAGAATCGTGATTACTCAATGGTCATATTTTATGAAACACCCTGTATAAATTTATAAAAAATCTTAAAATATGTAAAACAACAAAATAAAATATATGTGTTTAAGAGTTTTTCCGAAAATCTCACCGGTTTTTAAATAAAAAATATTCTAATATTTGAGGGGTGGTTTCACCCCCTCATTTCGAGTTTCGAAAAATCTCTTCTTATCGAACCTCTACACCCTAAAGTCAATCTGTTTTCCAAAAATCAGCTTTTTACGTCAAGCGCTTTAAGCAGGATCGTGATTAATCAATGACCAGATTTTTCGAAACACCCTGTATACATTTTTAAAAAATCTTAAAATATGTAAAAAAACAAAATAAAATATACCTGTTTAAGCGTTTTTTCGGAACCTTTACCGTTTTTTAAATAAAAAATATTGTAATATTTGAGGGGTGGTTTCACCCTCTTGGAACTGGAATTTCGAAAAATCCCTTCTTATCGAACATCTACACCCTAGAATCAACCTGAATGCCAAAATTGAGCTTCTTCCGTTGAGTGGTTTGAGCAGGATCGTGATTAATCAGTATGTCAGTCACTTAAGGATTTTATATATTATTATAGATTACAATATAAATGTATTACAATAAACAGGGTGTCTCTCGGATGATTATACGAAAACGGAAAGATGTAGAAACAACAATTTTTATAGGTATATGTAGAGAGGCAATGTGCATAATTTAAAATTATTTTCAAACTAAGATCCAAGATTTCAAGTTAGAACTAAGATCCATACCAAAGTTATATTTGTTTTGGATTCTTGGGCATAAAATAAGGCATTTATTATAAGGGTTTAATATGTTTTAATGCTTTGGTTTTTGAGATATTTAAATATATTTAAATATGCATGCTATAATAAAAAAAATTGTCACCACCCTGTACATTACTTTTCAGAGTTAATTCTTGTGCTGACTTTTAAGCCAGAGAAATAAACTTTACTAAAAAAATTTATTGCTTCCTTAAATGTATACAGGGGTATCAAAAATTGCTGTTAATAAGTTTAGTTTAATAAGTAAGTATTTATTATTTTATCAAGAAAAATAAAGTAATTCTTTGATTTATATTACGATGACTTGTAGATATATTGGATTTCTATCTATATCAGGTCTGCGAAATAGGAAAAGTAGTTTTTCAAAGCAACGCTGGTCAAGAAAATTCCTATTTGGATATCTTTGAGCATAAACCCTTCAGGCCAACAAGCAATTGTCTTCACAAAATAAAATCACTAGTAACATATCCATTCCTTCCGCCAGCAGATACTGCTTCATTTTTCCTTGATAAAATAATAAATACTTATTAACCTTATTGTAGGTAAATTACACAAAAATAACCTGTTATAAATTTAAATAAATTCCATAAACTAATGTCGATTTTGAAAATAGCTACTAAGTGTCACTAGAAAATTGCCATCGCGACACGATGACATCCATTGTAATATTGATTACAATTTTATTGAAAAATCGCTTTTTATTCAAAAACTGAGCCAGATAGGTATAGAAAACCCTAATATAGTTTGAAAGAGCATTTAAATCTGCTTCAACTTATTTAAAAAAATACATAGTGTTGTATTTGAAATAACGAAGTTTTGATGTAAAATAAATTTTTAAAATAGACCAACAATTTTTGATACCCCTGTATACATTTAAGGAAGCAATCAAATTTTTTAGTAAAGTTTATTTCTCTGGCTTGAAAGTCAGTACAAGAATTAACTTTGAAAAGTAATGTACAGGGTGTTGATAAACTTTTGTATTATAGCATGCATATTTAAATATCTTTAATAAATATAATGGGACACCCTGTATATAAATATTTTGTAGAATATAATTAATAAAGTTTCGTAATCTTTTCTAATGATATTATTATTTTTTTTTAATCAAAAGTCGCTTGAACAAAACCCTTAGAAAAAAAAAACAAATATACCATTTATTAAAAAAGTTTACCGTTTGATGCAAACTTTACAAGCACGCACAGACCTTGTTTTTGTTTAAGGATTTTGTTCGACGATCTCAGCTATCTCCATACTTTAAGCGATGCAAAACCAAAAAGGCGTTTTTTTGCTGTCGTGCAAAATCGATAAAGATAATAAAACTCATTTTGAATTCAGTGTGTCGAATAAAAACGAAGTCTGTAGGTCCCAGGGGTGGATCCGGAATTTTGAAAAGGAAAGGGTCCAACCCGGATATTTAAGTAGGAAGGGGTATTGAATATTCTGTAGAAATAGACGAGATCACAGACTAACCTATTTTATTTAACCTGTTATTTAGTTTGTGACGAGTTCTTATTTACAAAACTGTTTTGTCTAATTTTTTATACAACGTTAGTAATGTCCAATATTTACGCTTAATATCTAATGCATATTTCCAGTAATGTTTCTAATAAATCTAGATCTTTCGACGACCTAAATATACTAGTAATTTACAGTGGCGGCTTAACTATGAGTTCAAATAATGGTCAATGGCCCCCCAAAAAAACCAGGAGAAAACTAGAAAAACTTATGTAAATTATACTTTTTGTAAATCACTTTTTTTCATCCTAAAATATTCAAAACTATTCCCAATTTATCCAATTTTCGCTTGAAAACATTTTATTTTACCAATTTTCTCTACTGCCGGTCAAAATTTCATTTTGTCCTTCGTTTCCGCTATGTTTTACACGTATTAAACTCCAAGTGCCGCGACTCGTGACGCCAACAAGGTAAGGTATACTACGCATTGCATACTCCCCCCCCCCAGGTATTGCTGGGCTCCCCCCAGAGTAATCCTGAATTATGACTCTTGGCTGCGTATTAATTTTTATTTGCTTGTGATGCAGAAAAATGACGTTTTCTAGTTTTGTTTAGTTAACATTATATTGTTGTGTTCAAAAAATGTGTTAATTTTTATTTCTTTAGAAAATTTGTAGGTATTTAAGTAATCTACGGGAACGTCTGGACTATTCGACGGCGAAGGCCTTTAGGCCCATCAGTCTTATGTCGTTTGTACTAAAGGCTCTTGAGAAACTAATGGACAGGTATATTAGGGATGAAGTAATGGAAAAAAGACCATTTCATCAAGACCAGCATGCCTACACAGCAGGACGATCAACCGAATCCGCACTCCATCAGCTAGTAAGCAAAGTGGAGTCGACGTTCCAAACAAGAGAAGTGCTTTTAGGGGCATTCCTCGACATAGAAGAGGCGTTTGGACATTTTTAAGCTCCCTGTATATTAAAATTTATATTTCGTAACTTCAATCATATTTAAATAACAAGCAAAAAACGTTACGAACAATGACTTTTTTTTTCGAAAAATCGAAAATAAACAAGTTTACAAGTATAGTTAAGACAATCCATGGACACACTGCATATACTTGGAAAATTTGATACTCTTAAACCTTGTTTCTAAATATTCTAATTTTTTTTATTTTCTTGGGATTTAGGTTCGAGAAAACTCTGATTAAGTTTCATTAGGTTTTTCATTATCTTCATTATCTTTATTTCTATACTTTTTATAAACCAAATAAAAATAATGAAAAACCAAATGAAAACTTAATCAGGGTTTTGCCGAACCTAAATCCCAAGAAAATTAAAATAAATTTAGAGTTAATATATTTCGATAATTTCAGAGATATTAATAATTAAATTAAAAATATATATTTTTCAACCCCCGTTAAAAAAATATTACAAATACTGTAATTCTATAAATAATACTATA